CAGGCTATGGAGCAACACAGTACAGCTGAGATTCATTCTGGATGAGGACACAGAAGCTTCCAGTCTGAGGAAACAGGACCAGCTGAGGAAGTGGCGAGGTGAGATAGCTGTGGCTTGCTCTGTCTCTCTGATCTACCAGCATGGACCCCAATTACTGGCCTCAGGTTTGATTTTATTAATAAGAACTTTTAAGATTCCTGCTACAGACAGACACAGAGTAGGACACACAGAATGAAAGAAAATTAAAAAGCCCCAAGCAAAATGTAGATGAAAGACACAGGTTAAAGTTATAAGAACTAGTGGGACAAGCATAAGCTAACACTGAGCATTCATAACTAATATTAAGTTCTGTGTCTATTTGGGAGTTGATTGGTGGCCCAAAAGAAAGTCTGCTACACACTGGCTACCCATACTCAACAGAATCCATGTTCCCCATAATGGTTCATGTGCGCTACCTCCATGGTCAGCATTTTAGTTACCATCCTGGTTTCTGAATTTTTACCTGAAAGTTCCATAACAGTATAACTGAAAAGCAACAAACATTTCTTCATTTTTCCTACAAAGTCCTGGAAACCACATGGTCAGTTTTCTCACATCTACAGCCCCATTTCTTGGCACCAACTTTCTGCATTAGTAATGTTTTTCAGTGCTTTGACAAAATTTCTGACAAAAGACTAGTAGATAAAGTAAAGGGTTGGTTTTGGCTCACGGTTTAAGGGCATAGGTCAGTATAGTGGTGAAAGCATGCTGATGGGAATGTGTGTAAGCAAGCACAAATATGACTGCCTGCTTATATCTGGGTGGATCATAAGGCAACGAAAGAAATGAACATGCTCAGAAGGTTTTCTCCCCTCCCCATTTCTATTTCTTCAGCCCAGGAATCCAATTTGTGGAATGGTGGTGCCAATATTTAGTGTGAGTCCTTCAACCTCAGGTAATTCTCTCTTAAATGCCTTCACAGATGTACTCAAAGGTGTGCCTCATTGAGGAGCAAGGTGTTTGTTAATCCCATTAAACTAGCAATGGATGTTAGCCATCATAATATACATAGACTATGTCATTTTACAAACACTTGGGTGTTCATATACTTTTTGGTTCATTGAGAATAGTGGTACCAATACTCAGACAAATCAAAGGATCATAGTCCATTCAGTTATAGTTTACCTGAGAATTTGAGGTAGGAGATCAGGTTAATACTTTTAACAATCTTTTTTTAATTGTTGCATTTTTCTAGCTATGAAATACAGGGGGAGGTGCTTTTGATATATTTTACTTTCTTTTTCCTCAAAGTGATGTTATTATATTCATAATTAGACATAGACAACATTGCCTAGTATTCTGTATACAATGCATTTAAGTAAGCATTTCTTCTCCATAATTTTTATTCTTAAAGATTAGTTTTCAAGCTTTTCCATCAGATGAAAGCATTTTACTAACTTATCCTATATTTTTTACTAAATGCATTAACAAATATGAATTTCCCATATTTGTTTTTAATTTTCAAACATCAGTAAAGAGTACTATAGTTCAGCTCTAGTTTGAAAATTGGTTGAAATATGTGGTCTGGTTTTGATTTTACCTATGATTAAGTGTCATTTACATTCCAAATTCATGAAACATTCTTACTATTTATAGTTCATTAATGAATTATTTAATTTTGACAGAGAAAATATAATGTATAATAACAAATCTATGACTTAGAAAAAAGTTTGGGGTTCACTAATAGCCTATACAAAAGTTATGTTCTTCCTTGAAACTGTTGTGTATTCCTTGCTAGTAAAGGATTCTATATTTATGAAGTTGGTTAAAACTTAGTTCACCATTTCTCTCTCTCTCTCTCTCTCTCTCTCTCTCTCTCTCTCTCTCTCTCTCATACTATAATATAACTCCCTTCTCTTACTCCCTCTACACCCTACCATATACCTCTCGCAGCTCTCCTTCAAATTCATGACCTTTTTCACTAATTATTATTGCATGCATACATGTATAGGTATATGCAGCTGCATGGGTATATGCAGCTTAGTCTGAGAACTTGTGAAACAATTAAATTGTTGTTGGTCATTGATTTAGCACTTTGTTAAACTATAATAATTTCATTCATTTATTTTGGTCCTTTATTTTTGAAACTAATGATTCTAATTTTTACCTACTCATTCTTTTTGTAAATTTCATTAGTTCTTTGAGAATTTCATACACTAAGTTTCTATATTCACTCAATTCCATAACTCTACCCAGAGCCAGCCTCCTGATAGCCTACTAACACATATTTGTGTCTTCTTTTTAACAATTACTAAGTACAATTTGTGCCCTTATATATTCTTGGATCTATGGCCTGCCACTGGGTCATGGTTGTTTTGTAAGGGGCTGTATTCTTTTAAAAGAATACAGTTTCCATATCCCTTCAGCTATTGGTTGCCAACAAATCCTTGATTTGCTTATGGGCCTCCATTCCCTCCTCCCTCTCCATGCTAGGATTCGCTCTGCCTTGAGCTTGCACAGGTCTTGTATACATTATCATAACTGCTAGGAATTTATATATGCAGCTTCCCTACACATCCAGAAAACAGTTACCTTGCAGCCATCCTCTTCCTCTGGCTCTTACACTACTAAATAATCCTACCTCAAGTACTGCAATAATCCCTGAGCATTGTGAGAAGGGCATGTGCTATAGTTGTCTCATTTAGAGCTGAACATCCCGCAGTCTTTTACTTTCTACACCTTGATCAGTTGTGGGCCTCTGTGTTAATTGCCATCTATTACAAACAGAAGCTTCTCTAATGGGAGTTTGACAGATGCATTAATCTATGAATATAATCACAGGGAGCTGTTTTATACTATGTCCATTTAGCAGTTTGGCAGAATCAGAGTACTAGTTTCTCCCCTAGTTCTATAGCCTGTATAGCATCAGGTTCTTGGCTAACAATGATGCCAGGTGTGCATTTCATTTTGTAGTGTTGAACTTAAATCCAACCAGAAAGTGCTTCTGACACTATTAGACAAGGAGGCATGTCTTTGCCAGGACAGGAGTGTCTGGTACTGTGAAATCTGCCAATATAAATGAAGGTTTCAGGTCAGTATCAGCTCAGTCTCTTGATGTATCATCTGAATTTGTAAGAACTCCCATTTATTGGGTTGGCTGGGCATTCCCAGATCAATCATCAATCAAGAAAACATCCCAAAGCCTTGCCAAGTTTATTTTTTGAGTTGTCTGCTAGCAACTTAATGCCCTGCTAAGTCTTTTTATATCTCAGAATTTTGGCTCCCTCACCAAAATCATCTGTTGCTTTAATATACAAAATCTGCTTTTATATTTAAAATACATACATTTTATTTTATGTCACCTGTTTCTACATAAACCCCAAACTCTTACCAAAAACATAAAAATAGACATCATTTTTGACATTTTATAAACAAATGAATAAATGAAAGCACTACGTAAGGGGGAAAAAAAGAAAGAACCATACCAAAACAAGAAAGAAAACAGCATTTTGAAATATTTTTTATTTGATTAATTACAAAAGAATCTTCATTTCCAAAGTATATTGTCTATCTTCTCCCTAAAGATTTAAACAGCATTGAACAGAGAAAACATGCAATGCTTCCTTTTCCAAATCTCTCTTGCATTTAAATTATTTGCAAACATCTTACTTTCATTATAACTTTATTTAATGTTTTTATTTACCTCTCATTAGTGTTATTTAATTAATACCAACAACATTTAAGCATATAAAACATCCATGTTACTTAATGTTGGTCACTCACAACTTACTCTAAATTTCTTTTTCTATGACCATCTGGTTGTTTTTGAACCAAAAAATGGAGGTGCATGGTGTCATAATGCATTTTGAAATTTTTAAGTTGAATCTGATGTTTTAAATAATGGACAGTATATTTAATTTCTAGTAATCCATAACTTATATATCAATTCTTATATAATATTTACTAAGAGTTCCTATATAAAAGTACTCCTTAAATGTATGTCCTAGTTTGCTTTCTAATGATAAGGTAGACACTATGACCAAAAGCTACTTGGGAATGAAAGGATCTATTACAGCTTATTGTTTAGAGTCAATCATGAATGGAAGTCAGGGCAGGAAATGAAGGCAGCAACCTGGAGGCAGAAACTGATGCAAAGGCCATGGAAGAACACATCTTACTGGTTTGTTCTCCATGGCTTGCTAAGCTTGCTTTTTTGTACAACCCAAAACCATCCAACGGAGAGCACCTCTCATAATTAATTGGACCTACCTACATCAACCATCAATTAAGAAAATATTCTACAGAATTGCTTACTGCCCAGTTCAACAGAGGTATTTTCTCAGTTGAAGTGTCTTCTTTCCAAATAACCCAAGCTTGTGATAAGTTGACAAAAATCTAACCAGCATGGTATATAAAATTACAACGTTCTACTTTAAGGAACATGTGTAAAAACATATCCTATATTTAGATTTCTTGTTCTGAGGTGTTTAAAAGAAATTAGCTGATATAAAATTAATGTTTGTTATAATCTTTCTTGCATTCAAGTAATCTGCATTTATACAATATTAGCATCTTGATATTAACATATACGTTTTATATATTCTACAAAGACTATAGCATGCTTAGATGGCATTTATTCAAAACACTCTTTTGCAAGTTGAAAAGATAACATACATTTTTATGAAATTCAGAAACTGAATAAATTTAAATACAGGAATTTCTTGTGATCCAATTTTCCTCTAATGGATGCAGGATGATCCACACAAATAAGCCCCGGTTCCATGCACCGCAGGGTCCCTGTCTTTGTGCCTGCACCTCAGCCACAGCAGCACAGAGAGAGAAGCCTTTCTCAGCTTAGTATTTCCCAGAATCAGGACACAGGGGTGTACTGAGGGAAAAGCAATCTTTGTAGCCTGTGTGAAAAAAAGCAGCATCTTTTTCTCCAGAAGCAGAGAACCCCAAATATTAGCAACCAGAGACAGAAAGAAGATGGCATACAGGAGGAGGGAGGCGATCACTGTCTGCAAGGCTCTGATGTGGGCCGTGGCGCTGGCATCTCTGCATCCTTGGACACTGTGCTGCATCTTCCTCAGATGTTTCCACAAGGAGAAGATGAGCAGGAGAAAAGCAACTAGGGACACAGCAAAGGGTATGAAGGCAAACATGGTGTTGGCAAATGAAAACCATAGCCCAGAAAGCCGTGTCTTATTCCAAGTCAAGCTGTATGACATATTTACCTTATACTCAGTGGTAGAGATGTTCTCATGTAAATTAATAACTATAATATTTAAACACAGGAGAAACAAAGACACAAACAATGTCACTGTCACCACTTTTTTAACTCTGACCTTAAAATAAAGGAAAATAGTGTTGGAAAAATTTGCTATCTTGAACAAGAAAAAGATGCTGAGACTTGTAGCTAACCAGAGACTAAACTGGTTGAATGCTGTCCAGATACTGTGTATTACCACAAACATTCTTTCAGTTATCCATCTCCCTGGATAAAGCATAGACAGCCACCAATTCAGTAATACTAACCACAGCAGCATGATTCTGGATATGGCCAGAGCAGTGAGGATCTGATCCACTGAAGAGATCTTCCTTCTCTTGACCAGGTCCATGATGTTCACCACTGCTATGAATCCATTCCCAAAGTTGCCAGTTACAAATTCCACATTCAGAATGACTGCAAATGTGTTCTGTAGGGCACCACTCATCTTCCAGTGAATGCTCCAATTTCTATTGTCACTGTTTAAGATTTGTTAACACACACTACTCAAATGTGCACATTCAATTCTCAAAACCCCATAGCATGTTTCCTTAAACAACTTGCAAGTCTAATACCAAACATGCCATGAAACCTTGCTAATGACTTCATACTTTCCATCATAATAGCCTTGAATTTTCCTAGACACCTCTACTGAGCTCCATCCAGATAAGGTATACCTTACACACAGTAGCCTAGAGACATGCAAATTTTGATGAAGGAAAACCTGATCCCTCATGTGCTAAGATAAAAATAGAGATATATTTATTTGCATTTTGCTCATTTTCTCTTAAATATTATTATGGTATTGGGTAAATCACATAAAAATTCTATCCTATATACAAGGCAGCAAAAATCCTAACTTGTGGCTAGAAATTCCTTAGTACCACATATCTTTAAATACCTGGAATCAGCAATGCTCCAGACATGTGTACAGTATGCAAATCACTTCTAGCAAACTGTCCACAATCCAATAATATGAAAAAATCATCCATTTGTCAAAAGCTCAATACTGAGAAAATATGTATTTATTAAAATTATTTGATTTTATGCAAAGGTATACACATGCCAATATCCATACACATTTAAATCCAAAGCCCATTGTTATTAGCATATTTTTCTGCTATGTAGCATTTATGATTTCATGTAACTCATGCATGTCACTAATAATTTTTAAGGTGCTACTGTTTAAAAAATGCTAGCAAGTGTAAATCATTGAACATTGATTGCAAGCATTGTGTAAAATTGCACTAGTGTATGACTGCATGCAAAGATATGTATGAATATCCTTGTAGTGCTGGGAAGCAATCACTAAGGTGAATGAGTCTATATACATAACAAGATTTCTTCTCCTTTTCTGTCACCCCTTATCTCATAGGATACATTTCTCCATAGACACCAAGGATCTATAGGTTTATCCACCTTTCCTCTACTGTGTCAACATCAGTTCAGTTATCTTTACTAACAGGCACCACAGTACATGAATATACATGGCCTCACAAAGTGTGAGACAAGTAGCATTAGTGAGACCTTCCTCCTCAATAAGTAATCCATAAGCAAAAGTCCAATAATGTGCCGGGAGGTGGTGGCGCACGCCCTTAATCCCAGCACTTGTGAGGCAGAGGCAGGCGGATCTCTGTGAGTTCGAGGCCAGCCTGGTCTCCAAAGCGAGTTCCAGGAAAGGCGCAAAGCTACACAGAGAAACCCTGTCTCGAAAAACCAAAAAAAAAAAAAGTCCAATAATGCAATACAAACAGTAAATAACAAGATGACAGGAAAATATGTATTATACTTATTCAGCTGAGCATGGGTGACTCCATCTTCGGGTCCCTGAATCAAGATTGATTTTGAAAACATGAGAGAAATACAGAGAAAGATTCTGAGCTATAATTAGCCTACCCATTTCCATAGATGTGCTTAGGTAATCACTTATAAAGAAACTATATAAGATTAATTTATCTTAAATTATTGGAAAGGCACAGGGAGATAGTGCAGCAGGGAAGCATGAGCAAATTTTCACAAAAATACTAAAAAGTAGATACACAAAATTTTCATTCATGTGAAAGCAAGAAGCCTCCTTTAACTTGGCTCCTTCAATGTGCCAACAATGAACTCCAGGAAAAGTACAAAAGAAATGTAGACAACTTTGCTGTTGGCTCCTTGTAGAATAGATATTGAGATGGCAGACTTCTGGACTTTTCATCTCAAGTCTCTAATGAGGACACACTGAGAACTGAAGGCCTTTCATGAGCCCTTTGATTCTGAACTGGAAATACTGCATTTAGGCTCCACCTGAATAGCAACTTCTGAAGGAAGACAGTTTTCTTTCCAGGTCATGTGAAAAAGTGACAACTTATTACCTCAGACAAAAGTGTCTTCAGCCATTGACAAGTCAGTGTCATATGTAGGTGTGTTTAGAAGGTGCATGCATTTCTCATTCAATTATTCATTCACAAGAAGTTTCATATATCAACTACACCAAAGATTAGTAATCAGATGATTAAGCCAACCATTGCTTTCTGTGATCCCCAAATATGACAAGCCTTTGTACTGTGTTCCAGTCACTTTGGGAACATCTGCAGACGTATAGGGGTTGGAGGAAGCCCTGAGAGAGTGAAGTCCTGAGGGAATGCGCATTGTTGATCTTGGGCACAGTCACCCCAAGTGCTCCAATGCCTCAGCCCCATGGGAGTGGCAACGCTTTTCCCAAATAAGGCTCAGATGGATGGCAAAGGTTTCCTTGGGAGTCTCAGTGACCAGTAAGTACAGATGTAACTTTAGCTACCGCTCCTGCATGTATACAGCCTGAGACTGCTCACCTACAGAGACCTCCTACCAAGACAGAGAACCCCTCCCCTGTATGATAAATAATGAACACACTGACATTCCATGTGGATGTGGTGGTAGTTGTCTCCCCATCAGAATGCACACACCCCACCTGACCCCAGCTTTCTGTACATGTGTCAGACCTTTCTACTTTCCCTCACCACCACTGCTAGTCAATGTTACAGGACCCAGGCTGTGAGTCATGGCAAGGGCCTCAATGAAGAACCAGTGTTTTAATCAAAATAAGCTTTCAAAACCCTGAAAAGTGACCTTGACATTCATTATCATCTTAACACATGTAACAGAAGTGGTACCTGAATCAAAAGCACTGTAAGACTGATGATGTATTGCGTACCAAGAAGAAGACCCCTATATTAGTGACTTATAATTGAACTAAAGGTAAAGAAAGCAAGAGGATTTATTTAAGGTTCTTTACATGAAAATCTAATTTACATGCATGTGAGTGTAGATGTAACTGTCTTATTCAATAAGAAACACAGAGCCAAATGCAGAGTTAAAAGCCCAAGAGGCCAGAGCAGCAGCCAAGAGCTAAGATCAAGACCTCCTTCTTACACCTTGCTGTCGCTGTCGTCCTTCCCCTCAGAAAGAGACCTATTTTTTTGTGTATCTGTCTTTTCATTGACTTTTTGTTTTGTCTTCTCATTGGTTGTAAACCCAACCACATGACCTCCTCATCATTGTCTATCTATACAGACCTGCAGGTCTTCTATGGTTGGTATTGAGATTAAAGGCATGTGTCTCCATGCTGGTGGTATCCTTGAACACACAGATATCTGCCTGTCAGGCTGTATGCTACCACTGCCAGACTTCTACTATGGCTTGATATTAGCTCTGACCCCTGCAACTTTATTTATTAACATACAAATAAAATCACATTTCAGTACAAATAAAATATCACCATATGTGAGTATTAAGATATTAAAATATTGTGAAGAATATACATTATAGTCACACACAAATGTCTTCTCATACTAACATATTACAGACTCATTTTTCATTTCATAGATTCCAAATTTTATGAAAATTTCTCCAAAAACACATATAAAAGATGTTCAATGTGCATTTATACTTACTAATTGAATAAAGAAATGAATTAATAATACTAGGAGAGCAAGAAAATCTATTCCAAGGACACACTCTACAATGTGAAGAATGGTTTCATGCAAATAAACAAACATATATTCATATATATATATATATATATATAATTCTCTTTTACTAAAGATTTAATATTACACATAGAATTCCTTTTTCTGTTTCTCAACATCTTAATCTAACTATGGTAATGATTTTTACTAATTTCATGAATTTACCTTTTATTTATGACACATAACCAGGCAAGTCCTTACCCCTCATGCAGGAAAATTCTTTTTTCAACTGACATAGACCATTATAGAAAACCACAACCAATGAAAACGTAGAGTTGTGGAGCCCAGTCCCAATTCACACATCTCCAAAACACTCCAGAACCTGAAATTCAGGAATCATTACAGAAAGAAGAGGAAAAAGATTGCAAGAGTCAGAGAAACAATGTGTTTACTGTGAGATTGTATGTCCTAGGAATATCAGAAGCTATACCCATAAAGTCTTATTAATATGGTTGCCTAAACATGATTTGAACAAGGAAAACACCACTAATCATGCTCACATGGATGGGTAAAATTTCACAAAGCCTTATGCCCAGACAAACAACTACAGACAACCAAGGAATGATAAAAGTTGGAGAAATGGTTAGGAAGTTGTTTTTATCTCCATTTTAGAATCTTTTCTCAGGTTTTAGGTAAAAACTCTTGCCCCACATTGGGCGCCATTTGTGGCTAGAGTTTTCCTGCCTTGCCCACAGTCAGGACAAATCTTTGTCACCCGCCAGTCCCACAGCTGCTCAGACCCAAGCAAGTAAACACAGAGACTTCTATTGGTTACAAACTGTATGGCCGTGGCAGGCTTCTTGCTAACTGTTCTTATATCTTAAATTAATCCATTTCCACAAATCTATACCCTGCCACATGGCTCTTGGCTTACTGGTACTTTACATCTTCCGTGTCCTGGCAGCCACTCCAGGCAGTCTCTCTTAGTCCCACCTATACTTCCTGCCTAGCCACTGGCCAGTCAGTGTTTTATTTATTGACCAATCAGAGCAACTTGACATACAGACCATCCCACAGCATAGCCAAATGCAGACCATCTCAGACATCTGCACTCAGGCCCATGGTCCTAATCATCCTCTATGTGGACCTACTGGGTAAAGCCATGAGGAACCTGAGAACAGGCTCCCGCAGGACATACAGAACATCGCACAGCACTCCTGTCTCTAAAATACAGGAGAAATAAATAAATAAACAACATAATCTCATTATTCTGAAATTGTTAAATTATTTTCTTATGTATTCATATTATTTGAATTTTCAGTAGTATTAATTATTTCTCACTTCTAATATAATAATTTTTGTCACAGCTTCTATATTAAAATTTTCATATGGGGCTGCTATAGTGTGTTTGTGTGTTTGTGAGTGTGTATGTGTGTGTGTGTGTGTGTGTGTGTGTGTGTGTGTGTGTGTGTGTGTGTTTTCTCCAGGCATAATATAAACATCCCACATCCATCTTAGAGTTCAGCTAAACTTGTCCTGGTACCAAAGCAATGGAAGAGGCAGAACAATACAACAATAGGAAGGTCTATGGCAATGATAATGAGATTATTAATGTGCCCTATTAGAAGGATGACTCTGACCCAGTATTCCAATGGTTACTCACTCTTGATGACCAACCTCTCCTACCTGAATCACTGGAAGTGATGTTGGGAAACACTAGAACAGCAGTTCTCAACCTTCCTAATGCTGCATCCCTTTAATATAGTTCCACATGTTGTGTTGACCCCCCAACCATAAAATTATTTTCACTGCTACTTCATAATTGTAACTTTGCTACTGTTATGGATCATATTCTATATTAGGTATCCTGATGTGGTGATATACATAATTGTATTGCAAAGGGTGTAATGTATTTCAAATGAATTGTTCCCCACAAAACTCATTATTTTTTGATGTGACTGAACTGGATTGCATGATTATTCATAATATGCTTCTAATCTACTCATTCTGTTTGTTTGGCTTTGAGATTTTATTTTAATTACATTTCTCCCTTCCCTTTCCTCCTCCAAAACCTCATGTATACCCCTCCCCTCTCCCTTCAAATTTGTGACCTATGTTTCATCAGTTGTTATTGCATGCATGTATTTGCATATGCATATATATTCTCAAGTATAGTCTGTTGAGTCCATATAATGTCTTTGGCTCTCAGATGAAGTATTGTCTGCCCAGATGAGAAGAGTTCATGAGTTCATTTAAACTACTCTCTCTCTCTCTCTCTCTCTCTCTCTCTCTCTCATATATATATATATATATATATATATATATATATCACATGCATACACACATGTATGTATATATGTATGTATGTATGCATGTATATATACTGAATTATAGGTTTTCTTAAGTAAACAGTTAATGGTATGATACTTTGTGACTTTTTCAGATCTCCATAGGGTTATTTTTATGAATCTAGCTCCTTCTTCTCCTGCATACCTCCCTCCCCCTTCCCTCCTTTACCCATTTCCCTATGAGATCACTTGTATACTGCTATTCCCCTTTACCCTCCTCCCACCTTCCTCTGTTTTTACCACTCCCCAAGGAGCCCCATTTTTCGCATTTCCTCTTCAGACTCTATGAATTGATCTATCATCCTCAAGAATTTACATAATGAGCCGGGTGGTGGTGGTGCATGCCTTTAATCCCAGCACTCAGGAGGCAGAGGCAGGTGGATATTTATGAGTTCGAGGCCAGCCTGGTCTACAGAGCGAGATCCAGGAAAGGCGCAAAGCTACACAGAGAAACTCTGTCTTGAAAAACCAGAAAAAAAAAAAGAATTTACATAATGAACCCTGGAATTTACTAGGGACCCAAGGTGTCCATATCTTTGGGCCGGCATCTCAGCCACCACAGCACAGAAAGAGTGGCTTGTCTCAGCTTTCTGTTTCCCAGAATCAAGACAAATGAGTGGCTTGTAGGAAAAGCCAATCCAGAAGAGTACTCAAAGAAAATGGTCACTGTTTCCTCCACCGATCCAAGGCTCGAAATTACCATGACAATAAAAAGTAAATAAATTGCATATAGCAGCAGGAAAGAGAATCCAGTTTGCAGGGCTTTCATGTGGGCCACGGTGCTGGCATCTCTGGGTCTGTTGGCACTGACCTGCATCTTCCTGAGATGCTTCCATAAGGAAAAGATGAGCAGAAGAAAAGCTACCAGGGACACAGTGAAGGGTATGAACATGAACATGGAGTTTGTGGGTAAGAAAACATGGGATGCGTTGGTGAACAAGAGAGCTCTGGGAAATTGTGTCAAGTTTCTCCAACTATAACGCATGTTTCCTTCATGGGAATCAATCCATAAATGAATACATGCCAGTTTAACTACAATGTTTAAAATCAAAAGGATCAGAGATACCAGTAACATTGCTAAAACCACCTTTTTAACTCTCCACTTTAGGTAAAGAAAAAATGAATTAGAAAAAATTGCTACCTTGAGAAAATAAAAGATGCTGAGGCATGTAGCAAGCCAGATGCTGAAATGGTTATTCACTATCCAGATAACTTCAGTCACTATGAGCATTTCTAAAGTCATAAACAAATGTGGACACAGTACAGATACCAGTATACAAATGAGCACAGACCACACCAAACTGAGTCTGGAAAAGGCCAGAGCAGTGAGGATCTGATCCACTGAAGAGATCTTTCCTCTCTTGACCCAGTCCATGATATTCACCAGTGCTACGAATCCATTTCCTAAGGTTCCAGTTACTATTTCCATAAATAAGGTGATTGAAGAAGCAAACCAGAGGCTGTTGTTCATTGTCTGTGAGAATATGTTTCAATTTATAATATCACTGCTGTGTTTTAAAAGCTATATATATTGGTTATTAAAAATTCAAAATATTCATTCTTTAAAATTCCATGTAAATAATACTAACTAGGAAACATCTAAATTTCCCAGGAATTGGTTCATAATTCCTCCATGAAAATCTTGTTTTTTCTTCCCAAAAAAGCCCAGCTATGATTCATCCAGATGCTGCATGCCTTACATCCAGCAGTTTGGAATTTTCTGAAGTTGAGTGAAGTGTTGAATTCTCATCTGCTAACATACAAGCAAAGGCTCATTTATTTGCATTATTTTCTTTTTTGCCTCACCTATACATTTTAATAACACAATGTGAATTCTGTACAATAGTAAAAAATATAATTCATATAGTTACTTAAAAGAATATGAAATAGTATGTGTATTCCCTAAAATGATGATTTATGTAGATTTCAGTTAAATAAATGAACAGAAATGTCATTATATATATATACACACATATGTAAATCTATGTAGATGTGGGTCAAAAATCTTCATACATAGTACCCAAATTGTCTCAAAATCTCTTTAGAGATCACTGCTGCTATGTTTATGTCACAGAGACTATACTAGTCATTTTACTTCACATAAGTCTCAAGGGCAGTCATCTACACACACACACACATGACACACAAGCATAAGCACATATTTATTGAAATCCAACTCTCTTCTATTTCCATTCCAACAAAAGTTCTCACTGATTCAATGACCATGTATCTAGCTCATGCTTAGTAATATGATGATTTTCTGTATTTATTTTATTTATTACAGAACTAATAATTCAGAGCCTTACTCAAGCCAGATAATTGTTTTTACTGAGAAGCTATATCCCTAGCCACCTTTTTACTTTTTATTGTGAGAAAGTCTCACTGGGTTGCTTAGTCTGGCCTCAAAGTCATTCTACAGTCCAAACAGGATTTGAACCTCAACCTCACAAGTAGCTGAGATTATAAACCTGTTTCCCCAAGGCACAGCTTCCCTTATAGTTTTTTTTTTTCTTTATGCTGTTTTACACAGAATTCCAAGGTACCATCGCATGTATTCAGTGCAAATATTCAGCAATCTTACAGAATATTCTTCCATGTGTAGGAATGAGGCACTTTTATGCAGTCTCTGAAGCTGTTATTAAGGTAAATAAGCTCCTCTGAACAGAAAGAATCCTCCTTAGTCTTACCTCTTCCTGCTCAGTAGGTTGATTCCTTTATTAGCACCAAAGACTCAAAGTTTTATATCTACCTTTCCTTACCTACTACATCTGCTCTGTAACCATCACTTTGGGCAACATGGCAGAGGAAACATGATACACACCCTGGAAAAGATGGGAAGTAAAAATCATGGTACAGTCATCCTTATTTAAGAAGTTATTAAACTAAAGAAAATAATATATCACATGCTAACATACAAAAAAAAAGTCTCTCAATTCTCATATATTCTCCAGGGAAAACTGGAGAATTCATTGTGAAGACTGACTGTATATTTCCTATAGTCCCCTAAAAACATCCTATGCAAAACAAGTGAGTTCTACATATTTTAAAAACTGACAAGTAAACTATGATTTATTGAGAATGAAATCAGGCCAAGATGGGCACATTTTAAGCAAAAAGTAAAAATTGAAATAGACCTACCATCAACACAGAGATGGAACACTCCCCTGTTAGCTCTATGTCAGTACTGCAAAACACTTGAGTTAATTTACTTAACAGGAAGGAACTTTTGGCTCACAGTCTGGAGGTTTCCACTCATGATCACTTGGCTCCACTGTTCTGTGGTCTGTGGTAAGGCAGAACAGCCTGGCAGGAGTGGATCAGAAGTGTTCCTGTCAAGAGGCAACAAAGTAGCAAGTGAGAGAGCGAAGCTGTAGACCTAATATCCCCTCTGAGGGTACGCCTCCAATGACTTCACTTCCTTCTTCAAGGTCCTAATTCTTCTTTTTCTTTTTCTTTTTTCTTTTCTTTTTTTTTTTTGGCTCTAAAATATTTTTATTAGTTCTTTGAGAATTTCGTATAATGCATTTTTTATTTTATTTTATTTTACAATACAACTCATATCAGCCACAGATTCCCTTGTTCTCCCCCCCCATCGTCCCCCCTCCCCTTTCCCCCAGCCCAACCCCCATTCCTACCTCCTCCAGGGCAAAGCCTCCCCTGGAGGACTGAGATCTACCTGGTAGACTCAGTCCAGGCAGGTCCAGTCCCCTCCACCCAGGCCAAGCCAAGGGACACAGCATAAGCCCCAGGTTTCAAATAGTCAGCTCATGCAATGAGCATAGTACCCGGTCCCACTGCCTGGAAGCCTCCCAAACAGATCAAGCCAATCAACTATCTCAACCATTCAGAGGGCCTGATCCAGTTGGGGACCCCTCAGCCATTGGTTCATAGTTCATGCGTTTCCATTCGTTTGGCTATTTGTCCCTGTGCTTTATCCAACCTTGGTCTCAACAATTCTCGCTCATATAGACCCTCCTCTTTCTCTCTAATTGGACTCCTGGAGCTCCACTGGGAGGCCTAGCCGTGGATCTCTGCATCCAGATCTCTCAGTCATTGGATAGGGTTTCCAGCACAACAATTAGGGTGTTTGGCCATCCCATCACCAAAGATGCAATTACTTCCTATAACTCTTCAGATTAGTGGCCTAGGCTGTAAGGCATGGCCTTGCAGGGGCATCTAACACAAATATGTTATGGTTCTTCTGGCTTCTAGGAATATGCTTTGAGAAGAAAAATGCAAATGCAAGCATGGGGGACTACTGTGTGGTGTGAATCCTGATGGCAGAATGTCCTGAGATTTTAGAAAAGGAGCTGAACTAAGTGGAGTCTTGAAACACTCAGCTCTGAGGGGCTGGTCCTGAAGGAACATTGCATCCTCTTTCATTCTGGATGGAAACTCCTTAGATTTGCACTTGAACTGCAGCTGCTGAGTAAGGACGGTGATTTTCAAACAAGGTGAATTTGGCTCCAAGGGTAATTTCCAATAAGTCCAAAGGTCAGAAAAAGTAAGTCATCATTTGAGAAGAGCAGTGTCTTAATCCATTTCAGAACCAGCATTTTATTAAGAAGTAGAAATCATCAATGGGTTTTGTGTTAGTTGTGTCATTCTTGACAAGTTTATAAACTGAGTATACCAAACATAAGTGGTAAATCATACATAATTTTCTGTGTATCTGTGTACATTGATCTTTGTTTCTAAAATTATAATCCTCTGCCTATTGATGCATTGATATATATTTTCTTTAAAAAAGCTTCTATATAAAAATCATTATGATTGACGAGAAATACAAATGGTCAATAAATACTTGAAGGACTATTCAACACCCTCAGCATCAGTGGAATGCAAATTAAAACTGCTTTGAGATTCCATCTCACTCCAATGTGCATTCCTGTCTTCAAGAAAACAAATGACAATAAATGCTGTTGAAAATGAAAGGAAAAGAGTAGTCTTTGCTTTCTGCTGGTTTGGCATAAACTGGTTCAGTCACTAGGGAACCCCAGAGTTCAAAACAATGAAAATCTATGACCTAGCCAAACCACCCTAAAGTATATAATTTATGGTCTCTAAATCAATGAGGCCCAGATAAAATTGCATAATTAATGAGAATTCCATCACCTATTAGAACTTTTTCTTTTTTCTGTTGACAAAGCCAGAACAGTTTATGATGCTACAAAAACATTAACACAACTTGCAAAAGCAAATTCTGTCATTAACCAGGTAAAATATATGCTCATTAGTAACTTTAAATTGGGAAAATATATGAAGCAAAGCCAGCTTCACTGCTGAAGTTTATAACCTGCTGTACTAAAGGTTGAACAATACCTGGTTTGTGGGTGGGCAGCAAAGTTGCTGCACCTTTATAGTCTGTAGTTGATGTTAATGGGAAATCAATGTTTAATTAATTCAAAGCACAAGTTCAATGCTGGTTATGTGAAACACTGTTTTCCCCAAAGTGCAAAATAACTCCAAATCATGCACTGTACACTCTTACCACAAGCCATAATCTCCAGTTGTTGGTGTGAAAGCCAAGGCCTCATTTGCTAGAATGCAACTAAAGACATACTCTCTTTTACTGTTTTGCACCCTTTTGCCTTCTCTAGTCTCTGTAATGGAAATCACCAAGCACAGTTGCCACCAGTAAAACTTTAAAACCCAGTGGGGGTTGCAGGGAATGACTAAAGTAGTGGGTGAGCATCAGTCCTCAGAAGATGCCATAAGTATTTCTCAACACCAATAATTTATTTCAACTAATACATTGGCTCCTTGCTGGACATATTAGGAATAGACTTGTAGTTTGCTTTTTTCCCTAATGTTTCCTTGTTTTCTCTAGGATCTGCTAGAAAAGTTTATTTTCCCTACAATTGTCTGCAGATAGATTGTGCTGTAGTTGTGTTATTTATAAGCATAAACACACACACACACACACACACACACACACACACCAGCAACAACAAAACCATCCACATATTTCAGTTAGTTTCTGAAAAATAATCCTAAGGTTCTACACAATATGAATTATTATCTATAATTGCAATTAAAAATCTTATTAAGCTCTAGATACCATGTTAGGCATGTGGAGTTAGGAGGACAACTTACAGAAATTGCCTCTCTCCTGCTCTGTGGTTCTCAATGTTAGAACTCAGGTCCTCAGAGAATGAATCAAGTGTTGAGCTGTTGCCTATAACTTCTGTGGAGCATGTGACTTGTGATTGTATCTTTAGGATGGTTGCCCTCCTACATATACTTAATAGTTAAATAATAATTTTAAATTAATTATTTTAGGAATTTAACACACAGTGCTGAAATCCACTCCTGATCTTCTTGCCTCAGACTCTAGAGTAGTTGCAAATGGTGGCATGAGCAGTTTTCTCCTATAGGTGTTTTGCTGAATCTGGAGACAGCTTCCCTCCATAGCAGACATTGTTCTCACTCTCTGATGATACCTTCATGCATGAAGGGTACATTTTATCT